TGGCCCCAGGATCCCTCGCACAGCGAGAACCGCCTGGGTTCCTCCAAAAGGGTTTAGGGTCTCTGTCATCCTTACTTGTGTCGATTCTCTTCAATCAAATCCTGTAAGGCTTTGTGCTGGCTCTGGAGCTGGGCCTTCTCACACAGGAGGGAGCCCAGTTTTCCTCTCAGGCTGACGATGTAATTTTCACAGAGGGACGTAAGATCTTTCTGAACCATGGGTGCTTTGTGGGATTGCAGAAGCTCCCACTTGGTTGCCAGTGCCTGGTTCCTCTGCTCCAAACATCTGACCTGACAAACACACACACGCACAAAAGAGAAGGTTGTTTTTTAAGGTTAAGCAGGAGAGTTCCCACCCCAAAAGGAATTAATGTGTGAATGATACTGTTTGTGGCTACCAAGAATCATCGAGGGGGAGGAACCTTTGTCCTTCCAGTTGGTTTGGCCTACAACTCCCATTAGCCCCATGTTGTCAAAGGCAAGGGATTGTGGGAATTGTATTCCATATGTCTGAAGGGTGACATTTCCCCCCACCCATGATTTAGGTTTTGGCGTACAGCTCAGTAAACTACACACTTCTCAGATCTGCTTTGTTTTCAATAGAACCCCAGTTCCACCTGGATGTAAAGCAGAGGCTCGGGAAGGCATTCAGAGAACTGCAGAACTTGCCAACGTGCTCAGCCTGGGCATTTATTTTCAGTGCCACAACTGGAGCTTGTACACAAGTCCTTTCATATATGAATCCGCTCCTATTGGCACCATTCCTCCAAGATCTGCTGATTTTAGTGGCCGAATACAGGAAGTAAACAAATTACATGTTTTTGGTTGCGGCTCTAAATAGGTGAAATGATTTTGCAATCTGAATGTTAGGCATGTGCTCTGTCTTTGGACAAAGGTATCAATATATCACCCACATCGGTGATATCTGTTCATTGCTGGTGTGATCACAGGGCAGGGCGAAGAACCACTGGTCAGCCATGGGACGGAGCGATAACACCCGCCTGGATCCCTCCTATTGCATCTGACATTCACCTACCACATTTAGAAGGGGGGAAAGAGAAAGGAAAACTCAGGAAGTTAAAGGAGAGGACGTGATTCAAACATGAGCCCTTTGTGGCTACAGCAGCACTAATTTCATATGTTGGGGAGGCAGAGGGAAAGGACAGGAAACTTAGGACTGCTGGCCTGCTGCCTTGTCCTTTGAAGAAGGAATCAAAGAGAGTTGCACCCATTTCCCTTTTAAGGCTGTTCTTATCTTCCCTTAGGTGTGTGAGAATTTCTCTTGGTAGCTGGGGTTAAAAAAGAAAGGGGAAAATAAAAATACAAAACAACATTGTTGTTGGTACCCTTCTGGCCTTGCCATCTATGACCTGGCCTTGCCATAAGTGTTTTTTCATTTGCGGGAACTGGGTCTTCATGAGAACTAGAAATGCACAAATACGATGTTATGGAACATGGCCAAAATGGCCCTGAAAAGACGCGGTGCAGGTTGACCCCAAACCTGTGTGCCCTTTATTCAGGGACAGAGGCCAGGGGCGGCTACAAATTCGTTCTGGACATCCTTGAAGAAGGAAAACCGAAGCACCAGAACGGAATATTCTCCGTTGCTTCTCTCTTTGAAAAATAAAAACCTGGTCAACGAAGCAGTGTGATACCAAGTTTATCTCCTGGACAGCTGTCCGTTCTGTGGGGAGTGGAGCAGGGGATCAGGAAGAGGATAGCTCAGCACCCTCTTATCAAATGGCAGTTCCTAGGATTATGATGGGGTGTCATGGTAATGGTATGAAACAGGTAGAATTCTATAATGTACACATATCATCAGATGGTTTGGTAAGCAAATTATATACCAAAAACAGGGAGCTCTTGGTGTTTAATTTCTAAAGACCCAAGGCACTGACTACCTCAAATGTTCTTCATAATTTCGGGTGTTGGGAGTGCCAGTGTGGAGAAATGAAGTGGAAAATATGTTTGATTGAGACTCAGGTTCAAATTCCATGTCAGCCACAGCATTTGCAGTACTAGGAGACTTTGGACTAGTCACTGCCTCTTCACCTGTTCTATAGCTCACAGGGTTGTTCGGAAGATAACACTGAAGGGTCATCTATGATAATAATTACATGCAATCAAGTCAGTTTCATCTTATGGCAACTTCCTCTAGAGTTTTCCACATATAGAGAAGCAGATGACCATTTCTTTTTTCTGGGAGTGTACAGCTTGCCTAAAACCACATAGGATGTCTCATCACATAAGAAAGATCATGCAGAATCAAGCCCCCGACCTCTATTTATTTATTTATTTATTTATTTATTTATTTATTTATTTATTTATTTATTTATTTATTTATT